CCAGAACAACTAAATAAAAATGCAGAATGTTCTTCTGTTGTGGCACAGAAAAGCTGTACCAAACTGTGGCAGTACAAGAGCTGTGTACTCAGCATGTTGGTTTTAGTGATGAGGCTGACTTAAGTTTTCTTCTTCCTCTGTCTCCCCTTCTCAGTACGGTTTATGTACTGTAATTTGTAGGCCTATTCTATAACTTGCATTCCTGAAATAACTTACTAAAAATACCTTCTAAGCCTTTCCCCAGTCTCCCAAAATTGGAGAAGGGGAGGAAAAGACTACTTTTCTGAGGACTGGTATCAGTCATGTCATTTACACCTGAAGATTTGCACTGACACAGCTGCAGTGGTGACCAACTGGGGAATCAGCAGGATGGGTCAAAGAACCAAAGCCTCCTAAGATGCTGTTGTCATCTAAGCTGTGTAACTGAGCTTTCAGGCTTTGGAGGTAGCCCTGGAGTGTGGCAGTGCAAGGCTTGAGCTGCAAGCTGCACCAGCACAGCTGCTGTGCGGCTTTACCTTGAATGGGATCAGGGAACTGTTCTGGATTAAAAACACCTCCTCGTTACTTTGCTGAAACGCAGATGCATTTCTTGCCTTAATTCCTAATACAGCTCTGCAAACACTGCTCAGCAGAACTGAGAGGACAGTGTGCTGTGCTGCAGGGATGAATGCGAGTGGCCTGTACGCAAAACTGCCACCAAAGGCTCTGTCAGCAGGGTCCCCTTAAGGCTGAACTAAGAGTTTGGAGGCTCAGTACTATTTCCTGAACAAACCTTACACAGTGTCTGGGAAAAGACTGGTATGTTAGTTACTCTACATCAGTGTTGTGCAGATTTGTTTCATTTGTAGGTTTGTGAGATGAAATTTGTGGTGTTCTTTTGCGCAGTCTTGGTGTTTGTGCTTTCAAAGGAGTTTGTGTTAATAGGCTCATGTAACATGAGAGTTTTTGACCTGCTGCTTTGTGTTTTAGCTGCAGTTTCATCTGGTCTGTTCAGTGTTTGTTATTTGTAATTAATTTTATAGTGGATACAAATACACTTGTTTAAAAGTCAGGCTACTTTTAATGTTTTTGAGTTACTTTCATATATATACATACACACTTGCTCATAGAATGGTTTGGGTTGAAGGGACCTTAAAGGTCATCTAGTTTCAGCCTCTCTACATGGGCAAGGGTACCTCCCGTGGCAGCCTTGAACACTTCCAGGGGTGAGGCCTCCACCACCTTCCTGGGCAGCCTGTTCCAGTGTCTTGCCACCCTCACACTAAAAAATTTCTTCCTAATGTCTAACCTAAATCTTCCCTCTTCCAGTTTAAAGCCATTACCCCTTGTCCTGTTGCTACAAGCCCTTGTAAAAAGTCCCTCCCCAGCTTTCCTGTAGGCCTCTCAGGTACTGAAAGGCTGCTGTGATGTGTCTCTGGAGCCTTCTTTTCTCCGGGCAAGGAGAAGAGAGTCCATTTATAATCTTTTTAATCAAAGTCCATTTGTACAAGTACTATTAAAAAATCAAAAGCAAGCAAACAAACCCACAAAGAAACACCCTAGTCTTTCATTTGTGGCATTCCCCTTAGAGATGACTAATGTGTCAGTAACTAGAATTTGAAACTGCAGTTTGGATGCATGTGATTTGAAATTAGTAAGAAAGCAGTCATTCTAGCCTTTGTGTTTGCATTTTGTTAATGTTATCAGGAAAAGCAGATCTTAAACACTAGTTTCATTTACATTGAGACAAAAAGATACATGGCTGATTTAAAAATGCTTTTTTTGTGGTTCAGATAGACAGTATATAGGCATAGTAAAGTTCAAATTTGTAGACTATTACAGTCCTTGCTAGTGACACAAGCAAGACTTAGCAAATCAGACTTCCTGGCTCACTTTTTTTTTTTTCCTTATTATTCTCTTACCTTAAAGAATTTGAGGTGAAATCCAAAGCTAGCTGAGCTAGAGTGAAAACCAATCAGGGGTAACAGTACAGGGCCTAACAGTCAGCATGTAGCCATGGAAAATGAAGGTGAAACTTTAAAGTGACATTCAGGAAATGTGAAATGCATCTAAAATGCCTATTAGATGTGAGCATGAACTGACTTTGAATCATCGTTTTGATCAGACTGAAGAGAAACTCCTGCTTGTTCCAGTGGGTGGCTGCTTATTTTCTGAACATAGTTTTGGTGCTTCATCAGGCACTAAGGGTGCATTTGAGAAAGCACTGAGAGATTGTTGGAATGACTGTCAGCAAAATTTCTTTACAGAAGAAAGTGGAGGCACCTGCACTTTAATTTTTTGGGTGTGTTGGGGTATGATGGGTGTTTTTTTATTGGTTTGGTGGGGGTTTTTTATAAACTGCTTTCTGGGGGCAAATTAGATGCATGAGATGTTTCCCTGAATCCTTGCTGCCCTCTGTGGAATGCTGGCTTTTAGTTCACAAATGATGATACAACATCAAAGCATGGTGGTATTTTACTAAAATGGAGTTTAACAAGGCAAGTTGTTATTGTCATGAAATTCTAGTTATTGGATTATGCTTTCTAATTGCTAACAGTTATTAGTAAATCCATGAAGTCTGTCAGTTATGTTCCCCTTTGGGGGGAGGGGGGTGGAACTGAAACAGAATATGCTGAAACTATCTTTCTGAATCCTCCTACAAAACAATGTAAAAGTTTTTCTCTTTGTATTCTCATCTACTAAGATGACAGGATACTGCTGTGGCATCTCCAGGATTACCCTTCTATCTTTTTTACCACTAGGCAAAATAAGTAGCATTTTCTTATAATGATATCACAGAATTTTAGGGGTTGGAAGGGTCCTCCATCTAGTTTAGCCCCCCTGCCACAGCAGGATCACCTAGAGCACATCACACAGGAATGTGTCCAGGCAGGTTTTGAATGTCTCCAGAGAAGGAGACTCCACAACCTCTCTGGGCAGCCTGTGCCAGGGCTCTGTCACTCTCACAGTAAAGAAGTTCTTCCTGATATTTACATGGAACCTCCTCTGTTCCAGTTTGCACCCACTGCTCCTTGTCCTATCACTGGACATCACTGAAAAAAAGCCTGGCTCCGTCCTCCTGGCACTCCCCCTTAACATATTTGTAAACATTGATGAGGTCACCCTTCAGTCTCCTCTTCTCCAAGCTAAAGAGGCCCAGCTCACTCAGCCTTTTCTCATAATAAGGTATATAAACATGAATTAAAATAAATTTTTTCAGTTTTATCCATTTATCATCTCACCAGCTCATCACCTTCTGCCACTGATACTGGTGTTGGATATGCAAATGCAGTCAAAATTAATGCAGCAAGAAAATGAAATATTTGTAAAATACACTTAATGTGTATTAAGGCCAGGAGTTTGAGAAGCCACTGGCTCAACAGTTTCTGCAGTTTTAACAATTAGCTATGAATGTGTAGGTTGGAGATAGATACTGTAGCCTGTTCTGTCTCTAAAGTGGGATTCTTGTTTAGACCAGGAAACACTTAAAAATTTTTCAGCAACTTCTTTACACAGGAGTGAAATCATTACTTTGTCTTGTTCCTGTTTTAAAACACTATAAAAAGCAGCTACATCATAGGTATGCAGTGGGATTAGATAAAGCAATTACTTCTTTTGCCTAGCCTGTGAATAGTAGCTATTCAGAGATCCAGTGAGAATAAAACCATGTTAGAAAAATGCAGATAGCATGGTGGTGTAGGTTGTACAAGCACATGGAGATCTTCCAGTAAAAGTGTACAGTTCTCTATTGTATCTCTTGGAATGCAACAGCTTAACTATAACACTATGTTGAGTCCTTAAAAAAACTGACTCTGCCAGCCTCTATTGAGTAACTTATTTTTTTTGCTTCCTTAATAGAGACGCGTCGTTGATGGCCATGAGGAGACGCATTGAAGGCTTGACACCAGAGGAAATAAGAAATCTTTCCCGAGATGAAATGCACATGCCAACAACTATGGAAGACTTTGAAATAGCTTTGAAGAAGGTTTCTAAATCTGTATCTGCTGCGGACATTGAGAAATATGAGAAATGGATAGCTGAATTTGGATCATGCTGAGTTGTCTTATCTTGAAGAAGCCGCCTTACGTCTTAAAAGAGCTCTAGAAGTAATGAGTAGTGTGTCAGTGCACTGCGTGCTCTTTTTAACTTGTAATTTAAGAGCAACAGATGTCTAAATAAATTTTTTTGAAATTCAAATTCTCTTTAGCTTTCTGAACTAGGTTGCCCTTTTTTTCTCAAATGTGGGAGATACTGATGAGATCTACTGTGATCTTCAAGATTTTTGAAGTGACTTAAATTTAATACTAGCACTTTTGCATCAGAGGGTTTTCTCTTGAAAAAACAGCTGTTACAAAAAAAATTAAAAAGAAGCAAACTGCTTAGCTCTGCTAAACCAATTAAGGAATGCTGAGAACTAGAAAACTGAATGAACAAGACACAGTTTATTTAGATGGTTTCGTTAGCTGGTCTGAGAGAACTCTACCATTAAAGTGTTTCAAAGCTATGAATAAAGAACCTGTAGAGAGGCTCAGGTTTAGAACAGCAACCCTTGAGGTCAATAGAGTCGACTGAAGTTTAAGCAAGGGGTAGGATCATCACTGGTTTACCATATCTATTGACAAGTGGAATGTAGAAGCAGTTCTCTGATTCTAGTGACCTCTTAAGTCATCATGTTTGCTTAAAAGTGGTTGTTGTGATGCAACACTTAGAATTTGTCTCCTTTAAAATATCTGTTACTTTGGAAACACTTCATCCTGATAGCTCATCTCAGAGCAGCCAGCTGTAGTTCTGCTTACAGGTAAACTTCATGTTTTTTCTTTAATCAAATATGTCTAGACTTGTTTCAGCTGGCAGATACATATTATATGAAACCAGCTGTGGAATTTCTGGTCGTGTGTCTCTTCAGATGCTGCCAGGCAGATGGGAAGGACAAATGATAATGAAAAGTTCCAATCAGAGTCCCAAGTACACATTTGTTACAAGATGTTCAGGATAAGAGCATAAAACATACTTAAAAGTCACCATTATGTCATGAGTGACAGCTGGACACACTGAAAAGGGACTTCCAGCAGTGCTGGTGCTGGGACACGCTAGAAGAAAATGGAGATAGTTGCAGATACTGTTGAGAGCTCCTGAGTCCCTGGGTGGACATGGCATGATTGAATGCAGAAATGAAGGCAAGAAGTTCAGGTGAGTATGCAAGTGTTTGCATTTATTGATTTCCATCTTCAAAATGGAAAAAAAAATGCTTCCCTTTTGAAAGCACAGCCATATGTGACCGAGTTAAGAAAATTATGCAGTGTTTTGAAGAAAGTGGGTTCTCTTAATACTTTTCTGTGTGTGTGTTAGGATGAGCGTAAAGCTGTCAGTTGTGTTGCAGGAGATTTCTTGTCATAATTCATTGCAAGCAAATCAAACTATTCAATCTGTCACCTGGGTAAGAAGGGAAGGTACACATACTTTAGTCCTTGGAAGCAGTCCAGTAAGGGGCCACTTAAAAAGAAAGTGTGATGCATTTCAGGAACTTCTGAAGTAAACCTCATTTTAAAAGCAGTAGTTTAATTTAGTTCAGCCAGCCTTGTTCACCCTAAATGAACACCAGGGTAATACATGGTAGAGAGGAAAAATGTGGTAGATGCTGAATCTGTAGCTGAGGTTAGTTTTGTCTCAGAATGAAGAATATGATACCAGCCACCTTTGGTAGAGTTACTTTGTGTAGGTAAAGGGCCACTGCTGCTTAACTCCATGTGTTCAAAAGTCAGAGAGAGATTCTGAAGATGAGACGGAACAAGGGCTGCTGCAGTGAGAGCCAGAGTTCATGAGGGAAGATGTGGCCTTTCTGAAAAAGGTACTGCCATCCTACGGGTTTTTTGGGTAGTTGTTTTGCTTGTTTTGTTTCAACCCTGCCTCCACCTCCCTTTCTCTCCCCTAGCTGGCACCTGAGCTGACAGCTCATGTCCCAGCTCAAAGCAGCACTCCTCTGAAAGGCTCGAGGCTTCTATGGCTCAAGAAAAACACAAGCACATAAAGCTGAACGCTAGTGCTTTAACTTTTTAACACTTGATAGCTCCAGCTCCATAGCACAGCAATGTTGTCTGGCTATTACTGGGTGCAAATCTGCACTTTTGTTAAAATTTTATTTCACTAACCTGATGGTAGTATTTCTTTCTTTGTGGTTTGTAACTTGTAGGACACAATACAGAAGAGGTTTAGTTATCTTGTGGAAATTGACCAAGTTGTGAAGCAGTACCAACGCTTTTCCAGGCTTAGCCACTCCTTTATGTTGCAGCTGTTTATTTAGAATAGAGTTAAATTGCCTCGTTGCTGGGGGGGTGAACTGGTGTCTGAGTGGGGGAACTGGTGTCTTGCAAACAGCACATGCTAAGAGCTGCCAGATTTCCATCTGCAGTGGAAGTCATACCGTGCCAGTGCAGTAAGGGATACTGTTCCATGTCCATCCTTTTTTTTTTTTTCCCAAAGAAGCTAAACTTCAGCCTTATACATGTTTGAACTGTGCTAATGAAGGGGGCCAAGCCATGTTCATAAAGTAGAAATAATACTAATTTCTACATACAGAGGAGTTTGCTACTGTCTAAACATTTGCTCTTGTCTATGTAGTCACAGGTCCCTGTGCTAGACTTAGAAGTATCCCATTTAGTCCTGAATGACCCTTCTGCCATGTGTTCAGTTCACTAGGTTGCATTCTTAATTCAGATGCCTCTGCAGCTCTAGCATCACCTGTGTTTTACATGGTTATGTTTTTGTTACTGTGGCTTTCCTGCACAGTGGCCTGGGGACCACTGCCTAGGGCTCCAGGGCTGCCAGTCACTGCCACATGCCCCTGATCAGCAGAGCAGCTACTAGCATCTGGCACATGTTTGGGATCCTGCACTCTAATGACACTGAGCTCCAGGAAGTAAATGCAGAGTACAAACCCACAAGGTGCTAGAATTATTTATTTATTTATTTATTTATTTTTAATTTTTTAAACAAGGAAGTTTGAGAAGTGTTCCTGTTATCTTGGGCTGACATATACCATGATGTGCTGCTGGCTGGTGGTTTTCGATTGGTTTTGTGCAAGGCAAGTCAGGGTAAGAATTGTTTCTTCTCCTGCTGCAGTGCTGTCAGTTTCATGACACAAATCTTGTTGTTCCTGTCACAGACCCAGCTGTAAGGACAAGTATCTGAGTAACTCTGAGATCTCACTAAATTTATTATTATCTCCCTGTGAGGCAGGGCAGAATCTTAGCTTTCTCCCCCAGTTATAGCCACTTAAGCTGAACATGGAGAATTCTAAACACTCAATAACTCCTCAGTCTAATGCCAGGTAGTTAAGATTATTTTTTTTCCTAGTCGTTCTTCTGACAGATAATTTTTGTACATAAGACCAATGAAAAACTAAGCAACAAATAGTACCCTGCCATCTAACACATTTGGCAAACTGCTGATTTATGTAACTAGAAATAGATGCACACATGAACACGGTGTAATAAACAATTTAAGTGTTTATTTGAAAAATGCTAACAGTACAAATTGGCATGGGCAGATTGGGCCTACTTACCAACAGTAAGCCAGTATTTTTACAGAATTTTGTAGAATTTTCTTTTTTGAGACTTTATATAGTACTGCTGTCACAGGTACAAAAAGCATATTGTTTAAAAGTGTGAACAATTTTTGACTGGATAGGGCCATAAAAGTGTAAAGTGCTTGAAATATAAATCTGCCTTTTTAACTTTTGTTTTGCATATACAAAATGTCAAATTACTTGAGTAACACAAATGCTTGGCAGTTATCTTTTCCTTGCAAGGCACACTTAACCCTAAGAGACCTGAAACCAGGCTGGGCAGCTTTAGTTAGACTTGCAGGCATGGCCGATGTTTGCAATACTCCTTTGTCCTTTTCTGAGGAATGCTTCCTGCAGACTTCATTGCACCCTGCATTCCATCATCTCACTATTCACAAGAGCTGTTCTGGTTTATCTATGGATGTGAAGGTAGCCAGCATCCTGTCTGAGGTGTGGAAAAGTGACTTCACAGAAGTTATAACCAATGGTAGTCCTCAGGGTGGAAATTCTGAAGCTTCTGAAAAGGCTGCATGTTTATGGAGAGGCACAGGGAAGTCAGCTTTGGGCCTCAGCTGGAGTATCCCTTCACTGATGAATCAACTGACTTGGTTTTCTTGGTAGGAGACAAGGTATTAAGATCAAGTGCCAGATTTCAGGTAAATTAAAAATTTGTTTTTAAAAAGTTAACTCCAAAGCAAACAGTATTAAATACATGCTTTCTCATCTAAATTATTTTTTGTGTCTGGAAGATCTGAAGGCAGGCTGATAGTAATCACAGGTACAAAGCTGGCTTCATCCAGGAGAAGGATGCCACTGAAAGGTAAGATTACCTGGCATTAGAATATACAAAATAATTGTGTTCTAAAAATTAGATTTATTCTTAAACTTGCAAGTAAGTACTACCCTCATAATACCTCTTTTATGAAGCTAGAATGAGAACTCGATGGAAAAGTGGTTACAAAATGTACTAGCTGTGGTTTCAGAGGGGTCCCTTCACCCTGTTTCTACATGTGAAATATCAGTCTACATGTGAAATCTCAGCAGTGTAGGCTCTACACACTCAATTTCATAGCAGCCTAAAACTGTCTGATGTCAGGAGCTGTGAGGCTTTTGCACTGAATTCTCTAAGAAGGCTAAAGCCTCTTGTTTTATCAGTGTACTGTAAAATGGTATTCAAGACTTGGGACGAGGTCCTGACTCACATCTGCAACCGCCATTCACCAAATGAGACCTTCTACTCATTCCTACTGATTTGCTATCATGAATTAAACCACTACCACTTTTTACAGGATCACTTTATATTTTTTCTTTTAGCAAGTAAATTATTCTGGTTTTGAGGGGGTTTGTATGTTTGTTTTTGTTGTTTCTTTTTTTTGAAGGGAGGGGAGGACCATCCTTCCAGTATTACAACTTCTTGAAATGCTCTGACAAGCCATGAACAAGCCCCATGTTCTCCAGTTGGAAAAGAAGTAAGTGCAGGCTGGTTCCTCTGCTCTGCACTGACCTCTGCCATGGACAGGCTATCAGACAGTTCATGGAACAGTTGATGCAGATCAGAATTTTTTTTCCTAGTTCTACTTAATTTAAAGTTTCACACCTGGCAGTGTTAAGCTACTTACTGCTGTGAG